GGATATTCGTGTTCGAAAGCTCAAAATCTAGGAACACATTTCTTGCCAACAAGAAAATTTCAGTTTTGAATTCTAGTATTTATGCTTGAATAAGTAGTGATCGTCTCTTGGTCTTTGGCCCCTTTAGCGCTAACTCACCAACTTCGTCAAAGCTTACACCTACAGGTGTACAGGTTACTTACCAGGAAGGTCTTTCAGGACATGGAGCCCTTTTTGAAAACGGTTTTTTGCATGATAAAGGGGCACATGCATGGAGTACAAAACTAGGCTCCATTTTTTCTGAGCGGCCCTCTGAATGCCAAAAAAGGAGTGAAAAAAATTTCTTCAGAAATCGGAGTTTTCACACCTTCAACGTGGTTTATATCACTCGTTATGTTAAGTGGACGCACAATAGAAGGTTTTCTTCACCTGAACGTTGAAAACAGCGTGGAATAAAGCCAATACCAAAAATTGTATATAATAAGTGCTCAAAAGCACAAGGAAGTTTCATCAGAGTCGTTGACATTCACGTACAGCGGTGGTCGGATGGTCGAGTGGATAGCGTGATGGACTCTGGTTGGCACGGTTTGTTCGAAGTTGTTGGTTCGGTTCCCCTCCATGCTCGGATTTTTGCATTTTTCCGATTATCACTTTTTGCATTTGCATGTGCTTGCGCGTGAACTTAAAGCCTATAGGTGTCATTTCCAAGAACTTTCTCCCACAATTCTGCGATATTTCGTAGTACCATGTTTTTCAGTTGTGTACGAAATTCCGTTTACAAGCAATAAATAACTAGCAGTTATGGTAAAACTCAATGAAGCATCTGAATCACAGGCGCGGATCACACCAACTGCATCTAACGAACGCCAGAAAAGTGAAGTTGTCATTTTCTTCGCAAGGAACACCTACTCCATTTCCCTTGAAGGCAGATTGCCGGCGTTGAGGAACGTCCAGGATGCTCGTCGACGTAGCCAGTGCCCACCCAGGCATACGCCATGCATCGACGAGATCAAGGGGTGATGCCAGATTGCCCCATGGGCAGGAACTGCGGTGGAAGTGTAACTATCAACCAAACGTGCCGCTTGCTATCATCTCGAAGCTGTCTCCAAGTGGGAAGCGTGCATGCCGTACTGACTATGGGCTAACCCATGGCCCAATTTTTGAATTCGGGCCGAAATCTTGATCTTCTCTAAAACTGCGGCTATAAGGGTAATTATAGGCGCTGATTACGAATCTGACGTCCATTTTTGATGGAGGCGCGATATTGCGCCATTTTAGCCCCTCGGGCACCAACTCGGCGCCGCTTTAGCAATATTTTGCCCAATTCTGGGCAGAAAGCTAATCAGAAAGGTTGATGATGACCCTGATTGTAAGAACAGTACCTATTTTTATCGGCGGTAACATTTGGAGTTATTTAACATGCGCTAACATGAAATGCAAAATTTTGTCATCAGCCGGGACCGATCCCTCGACCGATTTTTCATACCTTTTTTGGCATTAGGAGGGCCGCTCAGAAAAAATGGAGCCTAGTTTTGTACTCCATGCATGTGCCCCTTTATCATGCAAAAAACCGTTTTCAAAAAGGGCTCCATGTCCTGAAAGACCTTCCTGGTTAGTGCTACGATCACGAATACGGCGTCGAGGTCAAAAAATGAATGGTGCACTCAGCAGCCGAGTAGCGGCGTACCCTCTATACGTAAGTTTGTAATGAATCTAGAGAACAAAGCGACAAACTACGCAGGCGCTGAAAATGTGTTTATATTCGTATTAGGCCTCGCCTCGTAGATAGGTTTCACAAAGTCCGATCACAAAGGCTGCATCGCGCGAGGCCCAGTCGGGTGCACAAGTGCTAGAGGGGGTCACTATCATGTTGGGCTCCACTTGTCGAGGGGGTCATATCTCGTCAAAATAGTATTTGAAAGGTAGTTGACCTCCTGAAGCAATGTGAGTCAAAAAGTCCGAGAGGGGAATTATCAAAAATAGAATTTCAGTTGATGCAAGATCGTGACAATCCACTTCCTTTTTTCACAAAAAAAGGAATGAAAAATGTACGAGGAGGCATCAGGTGGTGCACATCTCATCTTAAACGGCCTCTTGCTCCTACCATACTTCCCATGCTTCTAGAGCCTTTCAACACGTCCAAAAAAAACACGCGGTCTCCTCCAATCCCCAAGCACAATTGTTTGTTCAACCAGAAGTTGCACCAGTAAACTAGTAACACCAAAAAATTACCTAATGCATCCAAATAAAATCAGCTTTACATCAGCAAAAAACATTATTTGCCTCTACATGAAAAAAAAGCAATGTGTCCATCAGTGCAGTAGCACTCAAATGTCTTTATCTGTTCTTTCAAAGACGCAGAGGAATTACAGATGAGACCACACAAGGCGAAAAAAAATCAGTAGATATCTTCAGGAAAATAATCTGTAATCAGAAAAATCCTTCATCAATCAGTGGTCGAAGGAAGTACACCAACTTGATCTTGTCGTTTGTGCTATTTCGCGAAAGCTGTTATCTTGGTGTTCGCGAGATGTTCATATGTTTCATGGCCCTTACAGAAATCTTGCAATGCGGGAGTTACTTCTAAAGCATCGAGGATAAACTAGCAATCATTATCCGAAAAATTCATTGACGGTAGAGCGGCCGACGTTCAGCGATAGATGTCAGCTGTGATATCAGTTTTTTCTGTCCTTTCCTTCCTACACGAACTTGTAGAAATAAAATGTTCCAGGTCCCATTTATCCACAATACATCACGGCACTTACTCTGCAGTCTCGCCAAAACGACGATCAATTGAATACTATCCATTACTTTGCTTACTTACGACATCAAAACAACCCCATCAGCGGATTATCGCGATTGACGCTAGCAAACAGACCTCGTAAATACGTACTAAAAAACACCTCGTTTTCTCTTGCAAGGCACAAGATTCCCACTGACGGTCTATTCTCACTGAAATTTTGCCAGTCGGACACATAAATCTGCAATAAAATGTCTTTACTCAGATCCTGGGGCAGCATTTGGCGCAGTTTTTCTCTAGCATAGGAAAAGCGCCAGGGTAGAGCAACGATGCATAAATGGAGAGTACTGTGTTCGAAGAGATACATTCTTTCCGCTTCGATCTCAGTGTATCGGACACACAGCGTGAAAAAGCCGGTGTAGTTTGAGGGTAAAGCATTAACTGCGCAATTCTTCAAATATACGGTCACAACCTGCCTCATCAACACGAATCTCCGAAATTTCTGAGCATCACCATCCAAATAAATCTTCAATTGCACGCAGCTGTTCATGGACCACACATTTCTGTAGCTACCGGTGCTTTGCACGACACACTCATAGTGTTTCATTTGTTGCACTTTTCAGTAGGAGGTGAATGTGCACCAAGATACATTTGGTTGAACTTTCGCAAATGTCAAACTGCCTATGGTATCAAGGAAAAACTGTTCAACAATACAATTCTCGAAGGGAGAGTTGTTTTTCAGAATCACCTGTTTTAATTTTTATGGTCGTTCTTATTGACCAGACTTCGTTTGTGCGACACAGTTCGGTGGCTGGAATCAACTTTTTCCGTGTATTGAAGTCGCCTTGTAATTACCAGCCATATCAGTGGGCCATCGAAGTTCGTATTGCTTAGGTTGAGCTCCTTCCTTGAGAACGCAGTCGCGAGGCCTCGAATCAGGACCCTTAAATGCACATCCATTACTCATATGCGAAAGTTTAACAATGAATGGTGGATGGTTAAGAATTTCCGTCCTCTACAGCTATTATGATAACAAAGGCTTTTAAATAATAAATATTGTTGATAAATTACAGGGACAATAGGAGTGAGAGAGAGGAGATGCTTGAAATGTCCTATTGGCAAGCTACTGGACAACCCGATCGAGCAGCCCACTTATCTATTCTAATAGTTAGACACGGTTAATAAGATATGTCATGTGCCGTCCATTATATTGTTTCGCGCCTCAGGTCGGCGCAGAAGTCGGTCAAGATTGATCTTAGGCAGAAACGAAAGGTGATGAACATTCCTAGATGCAGCTGTACGGAGTTTAAAGGGACTGTTGGAGAATAGATGAGATTAACAAGAATGAAAAGCCTTCGGTATTCCTGGTACTCGAACATTTTGTTGTTCATGAGCCATTGCTCTGTGGTTGCACTGTTGTTTTTCTGCAGACCTGTTTACTACAGTGTTTTCACACTCCCTTTCCTAAATGAATCGATAGGATACGTCGAGCTTCCTTGTGAAAGATTTACATTGGGCCTTCAAAGCAATCCGGTCCCTCCCTACTGAGATGCCAACATGAGGATGCAGGAACGGCTGCCAACAAAGGACTCAGAAATCGAACTCCATGCCACACCTCTCCGCTCGCCTTGATCCTTTCATCGTCATGAATTTCAGCTTACAGGTGGTCGTGAGAGACCAAATTCGGAAAAGTCTGTGTGGATCAGTTTGACGTTATTTTCGGTTTAAACTTGGCTTTGAAACTCAGTGATCCCTCACTAATAAACCCTCTTTTCTATAGGAAGTTTTCATGATTCAGTTCAGTGACAATAGTTACAGCTTTTGCTTCTGCAGAAACACTATGATAAGAGCAACGTCAACGAATTAAGTGTTATCAATTATTTTCCGAGAAAGCAGATGGTGACGCCAGCGCTGTTTGGACTGAATGCGAAATCGACGAAAACTCTGCCCAGCGAGTGACAATATGGGAAAGGATTCATGCTTTCGTGACTGTCGTTGCGATCAAAATAAAACACAACCCTGCTGGCATTCGCACAAAAACAAAAAAACGTGTTCCACAACAACAACGCCATGTCGGAGCCTGTGCCAGCAATCAATTCAAAAGGAAGTGAACGAGAGCGTGCCGCCTCTCAACAGAACCCTCAAGGCAAATACTTCTATGGGCGTTCTAGACGATAAACAGCACGGATAGAACGAGTGCCACGGATGGAAAATGGAATGATGGAAAGTCGTAGCGACTAATAAAGTTGAATACGGTGGTAAAAAGACTGTTAAAAAGAACGAAAGGGTTAGAGAGACGAAAATTTAGACATGCGTTGATGACGGACACGAAGAGTGGACTCTGATTAGGTCTATTGGTCGGCATTTGATCAGGCAAGTCTGCTGTCAGAAGTTAGACGAAAGATCACTTCAGCGACTGAGAGGGCACTCAAGGGTCAAACAGTTCTTTTTGTTCACCAATAAAAAACATATCTAGATTAAACATTCTTGACCGCCTAGCTTTTTCAATTTGGAACTTTGAAGGCAAAATATAAACATATTTAACGGCAGAAGAAAATAAGTTCAAATGGTAATCCTAAGCAATTTACGTGACAAATATAATACAGTAAGTTTTGGATAAGGAGACCCATTTGACGGGAAAAAGTCCAAAAGAAACGTAAGAACTTTTTTATCAAACGTTTTCTAGACTATTTACATAAGAAAATAAAATTAACGTTGAACTACGAACCTCGCCGGAACTGATGGTCTCTTCAGAATTAGAAGACAACCGCACTACGTATGTGGCATGGTACATTGCAGACAATGTACACACGGCGGTGTTGCCGCTTATCGCAGCGGCCGCTGATTAACAATAACAACTATAAAAAAAGTGGACGCACCACTACCGACGCTTTCACATCGGTAACTCTCCCGCACTTCGAGACGTCAACAATTGCAACAGCCTCTCGCGACGCAACGATATCCAGAGGACCCGCTGAAACATGAAACAAAGAGACAACGTGAAACCAACTAAAATTCCTAGTCAAGAAAAAACGTTCGCAAGAATGACGCACATAAGCCATCCGATCCGCAAACTTTTACTTTGTTGACTTCAGTCTCAGGAAGCAGTTTGATACGATAAGGGCTGGAACATTACAAAATCATTCAGTGCTTCATCAGTACAATTGTACTTCTTGATTATCAAACAGGTGAACGTGATGATCAGCACCCACCTGCTAGGAATTGGTTTACCATCGTACATGATTTCTACCGGTATCACTGATCCAGGTTCACCGACAGGAGTGAAACGAGCGCGATACAGACGTTTCGAGCCTCTTTCCCTCTCCAACAACGGTTGTTGATAAACTGCAAAGAAAATTTTTGTGATGCGTAAGCTTATCAGAACAAGCGATTAAGTTTTTCATAATCTGACTGAATAGATCTCTGCTTGTTGCAACCACACTGATAAGACGACTTCTTTTCATCCACAAAAACGGTTATGAAACATACTGGGTGGCACAGTGACACTGATAGGAGCTTCTTCAGTCTGCGACGCGTCGATACTGAACGAAACAGGACTTCCAACACGTGCTTCCAATAACGTATCTGGTCGCAGCCCGCTGACCGCAATGCGGGAAGGATCGTTAGGCATATCGGCAATGACACGGAACGGCGATCCTGGAACATCCTCAACTCCATGGCCACAGTTGCGCAAGGATCACATCAAATCGGTGAGATTTGTGTGAAAGCAGCCTCTTTTCAACGAACCATGGATGTGCTGCTTATCTTCGTCCTTTCCATAGCAGATGCCAATGGTATATTCACCCGGCACTGGAGGGACGTATTCCACCGAGCAAGTGCCATCAGAGTTATCAATGCATTTGTTTTTCGCCTCTGCAGGGCCCATGAACTGCACAAACAATTCACCATCTCCGGCATTCTGAAAACATCATTTTTCAATAGAAGCAAAACCAGAATGATACGAGCTGTGGGACGCCATCAATTAAGAAGACTCTCTTTAACGAACAAACGTGATTAGCAATCCGTATTTGTTTACCACACACGTATTCCTGTTTCAAGTGCGTTTGCGGAATTTTGATAGCTGCGTCGTACCTCGTAAACTGGGGCAGTTAAGCGAATACCGCTATGGAAATGAGGTTTTTCACGAAAATCATAGGCGATGATTATCAGTTCTTCATCCATTGAGTTTAGTTAATAACGTCAGAAATGGCAACCGCGCATACGTATTGCAAGGAAAAATCAGGAACAGAATAATTTTGAATAAGTGGGCAACAATGCCCAGATCGTAAGCTTATCGGCGATATGATTTGAAGGTTTGTCCAGAAAGCCTGGATAGAGTTTGGACAGGTGAGGCATGGCAAATGACGCACATGTACCACACGAGCCCTACGATGGGGGCGGAATACGCGCAAAAATGGGCGGTGCTAAAGCAAAAATTCCTGGCTTGATTCCAGCACAGTTAGAAGCCTATTCAAAATGAATAAAGCTGAGGGCAGATAGGCGAATAGGATGGAAGAGATCCACTTGTCTAGGGCGGGGATTGTGTGAGTGGGCGGTGCTTGCATACGAAATTCGTATCCTGATTCAGAGGCAACTTGAAACCCGAAAAAAAAGAGGTTTGGTGCCTATGGTACGCCTAAATATGTCTGACACGAACGAACCGCGCAAACAGTGAGCGTGGCTCGTGTTTACTGTAAAAATCTGTTCTTAATTGATTTTTTCATGATTACTACAAAAGTCCACAAATTTTTCAAGAAGTCTTGTAGAACAACGAAAATTGACAGACTAGGGAGGCTAGGTTAAATACTCCGGGTGGGTGTAGAGCAACCAGTGTGAGGGGTTTAAAATCGGAAGCCCGTTCCATATCACTCAAGCACCATGCTAGCGCGTTCGAGCGCGGTGACAAAATGCATCATTACAGTGAAGCTATATGTATACATCCCATAAAGACTAATTTTTGAAGGATAGTGCAAAGCAAGGCCGGGTATTGGCTTGTACTATTATGTGGTAGTAGCTACGTTGAAATATACCTTATCCATGAAAATGGACGAGCTGACATGCACAATAAAGTGGGGTGTAATGCAAAGAAGCCCACCGCGTGTGGGATACGGCAAGAAGCGGGTCGAAATTTACTATGAATGCAGATGCAGAATCTGATCAAATTCAC